CGAATAACCGATATATAACTCTGTATTAATGCCCTTTAGCAATAATATATACTGAATCGGGTTTTATACCTCTTTCTTCAGAAATGTGACGTAAGCACGGAGTCGTAAATAAAATAATGGTGATACTTGATAGTATAATCAATGTTGAGAAATCTTCAGTTTTAATTCAATTATTAGTGAATCGATACATACGGATACATACGCAATTAAAAAAAAAAACAAATTATTAGTGAGTCGATATATAGGCAATTGAAAAAACAGAAACAATTATTAGTGGATCAATACATGGTCAATTAAAAAAACAATTATTAGTTAATCGATACGTAGGCAATTTGTAAAAAAAACAATTATTAGTGTATCGATAAATAGGCTATTGAAGTCTACTTTATGAATATCTATGTTAGTTTACTTAAGAGATATTTTGTAGTTTTTAAACTAATACAGGAGGGAACGATTTTATTGGTGTGCGTAAATTGCCCCGAAAGGATTATATTTGCTATGTTTGGCGAATATCATTAACCTTAATCAAGTTCAAACTCTCACCCTGAACCTACTTCTTTTTCACGATCATAACAATAATGCTATCTTTAACCTTACCCTAACCCTAATTCTGAACCTATATATTATCTTGCAGATAAATTTTGTAAAACTTGGATTCGATACTAACTTAGTTGGAACAAATTGTTCTAGTCACATTCCGCTTTGTGCAGACTCGTTTTATAATTTGTCGTATTGAGGACCTTTATAATAACAAAGGGAGATAAGTCATTATAGGTTCAATAATCTTCTCAACAAGGGGACGTAACCCAGTGCTCAAGTTTCTAAATATTAATCGAAGAAGATAAAAAAGACATAAGGGACCTCTTGAGTGATTTTATAGCAAAGACTTGACTTACGTATTGCGAAGTTCTTAAGGCGAAACAATAAAGTTTCGCGGGGGATGTTCGTATTATGAATCTATGACAATCAGTATGCGGAGTTAAGATATAAAACATTGAGCCATGTAATGATATTATTCGTAAAACGAAATTCTTTAATTATCGAACAGAGATATCCGTGCAACAAAACAATTTCCGCATTACGGAAATATTGGTAACTTTATACAGTAACTATTCTCCCGTTTTATTCGTTCAGCGATACATTTACTAGACGAATTATTCGTACAACGATACATTTGCTGCCGAGCTAAATTATTCGAACAACGAAACAATGTCAATCAACTAGAAATATTCATACTTAATGCACTAACTTTTCATTTAATATATTCGTCCAATGAAGCAATAAATATCGGTCAGAAATCTTCGTACAACGTGTACTACAAATCGACCACGAAATGTTCGTACAACGAAACAAACAAAAACACAGCATTTCCCAGTTTTTTTCACACTACGAACCTACTGTCAAGATAATGCTCTCTATAATCTCCAGACAATAACTACAACCAAAGAATTAATTTAAACAATTTTCTTCTTCAACAAGCCTGGAAACCAACACAAGGAAACTCATATTGATCTTCTTAGGCGAATCTGCATCTACAGAATCAGTAGAAGGGGGGGGGGGGGGGGGGGGAGAAGACGGTACGGCAGGACAAACTCAAACAAAGAAAAGTAATTAGGTAAAGTTAATTGGGGCGGGGGGTATCAATGGGAGACGCACGTGCCGTTGTTGTGAGGGGGTTGTCCCGCCATCTTTGAAAGTCGTGTGCCGAGACGCCATCTTGTCAGTGTTAAATACAACAGTCGGGTTGTAAACATTACAACCCCCGTCAGCCAACCCTTCCACTAGACAGTCATGTAGTAAACATTACATCCACCGACAGCCACCCCTTCCACTAGACAGTCGTGTTGTAAAATATCCCCCTCCCCCACACATCACGAATCAACAAAAACCAACCTTAAAACACATGGTTTTTGGTCATGTTTAAAGATTAAATAAAGTTATAATTTAAATAAATAATAAGTAATTCCCCCCCCCTCCCAAGAAAAATCAGATGTATTCTGCTTATTTATACCAAAACAAACATAGAGCTTAAACGATGGTAACATAATTTGGCGTACTGTGGAACTGCCATGAAAAATTGCCAGAGATCGGAAAAAGTGGAAAGAGTTTTCTGTGGTGGCCCCATGTGTTTTGGGCACAAAAGGGAAAAGATGAACAGAGCTAGTTGGAAATCCAATTTTGTTAAAGCTTGCGTCTTCCACAAACTGAGTTCTAAGCCTTGCCAAGCGCATGCGATAGTTACAAAACGAAATAGTTGTTCTTTTTTACTGCTGGCATGTATGTGTATGTGTTTGTGGGTGTGGTGTGTGTAACGAGCGTGTGGGGGGAGGGGTGCGAGTGTGATGGTACAGTGAGGAGGGTGAGTGGATAAGGGGGGGGGGGTCAGAACATTGAACCAGTAATCGAACAATACATAGAAATAATGGTGTGTAGCTTTATAATAACCTTGATAATTTGCCTTCTAATTAGTTTACTAATTAGACTCTCTTAAGACCGTGAGCCGATTATAAAGAGTGCTTTCACCCCTCTACATGTTTGCGTGGGCACCTGTAAATTCTAATTTTATGATACATTATTTTATTTATTTCTTTTGTTGTTTTTTAATATTATTTTTTTCGCCTAAAAGAAAAGAAAATAAACAATGCCACTAAACTCTTTTGAAATTAAGTAAAGTCCGCATTAATTAACGATCATTTCGAGAACCCCCACACACAAAGCAATGTGAGGGTATCTATTCATTATATAATATATTATTTAGTAATCATTTCGTAAAAATAGTTATGTCTAAATATATATTTATATGTTTATAATTCTAATTACATTAGTACAATTTAATATGATTTAAAAATGTGAAAAATACTTTTTTTTTTCAATGGGTGACCCGTGATATCAATACTACATGCGCATATGTGCAGAATCACATCACACAATATAAAAACACATGTTTCACATGACCTCTTGCCGCATTACAATATACATGTACTTTCTTTAGTTAATGTAATCAATGATTCATTAAACATGATTTTTTATGGACTTCCAAATTAGAAATTACTATATACAGTCCAGCCACGCTTGGAATAGACTGTCGTACTGGCTAGCACTAAAGTTTATGTCTTTACTATGATATGTTTTATTTGGTTTGTTTAGAAAAAAAAAATTAAAAATCTTACTCTTATTGTTTTAAATAATTACGCATGATGTGTTTTGCTTTGATTCATTTTCTTTTAAATGTCACATCAGATACTTTCTTGATTTTAATTTAACTTTATGAAAATAACTTAAAAATATTTTATTATTTGCAGTATATTTAATCTGTAATCTCAAAGGAAAGTGTTTACTTTTATTCATAAACAGGTCTGTGTGATGGAGCTGATGTTTACACACGTTACTAGGCTTACATATACATACACATACACAGCCCGATATAAACAAATATAGAAATATTATATGAATAGTTCATCTGACCGCTAACAGTATGAATACTAGATGAACAATTCTACAATCTGACAACTATATTAAACTAAACTAAATGTCACCTTAGGGCACTGTGAATTCTGACCTACCACATGCATGATGACTTTCGGTTACTATAACCCAAATACACGGAACTCAAAGAAACACGGTTAACACTAAAATCATTATTGCTAGTAATATTTTTACAATTAGTGTTTCAATGTTAAAATTCGATAGCATGAAAATAAAAGACACGTTTAAATTGAGTATAGGAGGTCGTGGTCTGCTAACCCTAACGTCTCTCTCCCTGAGTCCACCCAGCTCTAATTCAGTACCCGACTCACGTTAAAGAATAAAAAAAATGCGGCTAGGCATAGTGCTGACCATACCATCCGTTAATATGCCGAGGTCATAGAAAAGACTGAATTCTTCTTTATCTACCTCATGGGCTTCTAGTTGGGAAGGGTAACTTATCGTGTTGTTAAAATGATACAATCTGTAATAATATGTTATCTACTGTTTAAATAAATATTCTAATTCCCCATTAAACTGTTTGTTATGAAGATAACAAAACATTAGTCAAATCAAACATACTGTAAATAATTCTAAAGCTTCTGGATTTTAAAAACCAAAAAATCAAAAGCAAACTGTAGATGAAAATAAAAAGGGGAATGCATATGTTGCAGTGATATTGAAAATTTATCTTTAACTAAAAATAGTGCCATTAAAATATCCGATTAAGTAAATTATCCTTAAGAGATACTAAAAAGGTACACTAGCTAAATTTGAATACTACAGCAAAATTCGGATGTTTTAGATATTTACGTATTATTTTTAACTTTCTTTTTTATATTTTACCCGCTCATTACTAGATGATGAATTCTTTAACTTTTATAATTAAAAACTGTGTTGGTTGCTTAAATATGACAAACATACTAAAGTAACATTTTGAAAATAACGGAACAAAATTGGTTCTGTATTTTGGAGAAATCACCAGATGGTTTTGTTAAACTTTATGTAAGCAGATATAATGGATACCATAAACCAATTATTTTTCATGCCGCATCTTTTAAGATCTAAGAATTAATTTTATCAGCTTTAATTCTTCTATGATAACAACTCATGTTTTTTTTCTGTGTTATGGATATAAACATACATAGCACCGAATTATTTTTACCTTCAATAAAATTAAAATAAGTATTTAAATAAGTATTTATACGATTTCACAGGGGGGGGGGGGAGAAATACATATTTTTTGCTGTTATTAATATTTAAACACTAACCCTAACCCTTACCCTATAAGCTTTTAACTGGTAAATTAGTAAAATGCGTTCCCCCAAAAAATATATTAAAAAATTGTTAGAATTCTGAAAAGAATAATTCGTATTCCGCTGCGTTGCGTAGAGATGTTAATTCAATAATTGTGTAATAAAAAAGACATAGGCAACATTTTGGAGAAAAGCGAAATGCAACATTTTGAATAAAAGTGAAGAAGAACATTTGAAGAGAAGTGAAGAAGATTTGAAGAAAAGTGAAGTGGTACTCACTGGGATATCGGGCGTGCATGAATCCTGGGTACCGGGCTGCCAGTAGGGGGTGGGCCTGGTGGGATAGATCACGTGGGAGGTTGTACAGTAAAGGGTTGATGGGGAGGTGCGGGAACTGGGGGTGTACTCCGAGCGGCCCCGGGGGGCCCCCAGCCCCGTGCAACCCGCCCATGGAGCCTAGGGTCCTGTTACACACCCGCAGAGGCTGGTAGAGTCCGTTCGACTCCAGCTGCCCCGAGTGGAAGTTACTGAGGATGTGTTTGAACTCTTCCCCCGTCCACGCGCTCAGCCGGTTCTCTGACTCTGGGGTTAAAGATTTCTCAGCCCGGGGACTGGATGGACTGGAGGATCGCGGAGACAGCCGGTGCTGATGAGGATCCGAACCCCGGCCTTCCCGGCTGTCTCTGAAGTCTCTGATCTCCCGAGCCATTTCTCTGTCTCTGATCTCCCTCATGTCTCTGAACTCCCTCTCCCTCTCCCGCATGGATTCGATCACGAGTTCTCTCTCTCGGAGTATCTCCATCTCCCGAGCTTCCCTCTCTCTGATTTCCCTCATCTCTCTTTCTCTCTGAGCTTCCCTCTCCCGTTCTCTCTCCTTCTCTCTCTCCCTCTCCCTGTCTCTCTGGCTCTCTTGTAGATCGCGAGAGAGGTGCGGCCGTATAGGAAAAGGCCGAGGCGGTGATGCTGTGGCAGGTGGCGGTGAAGACGGCGAGCTGTCGGTGTTGCCGATCAAGGATTCGATCGAGAACCCGTGGCGTTTGGGCGCTGTGGGTGTGCTGGTGGCCATGACGGCAACAGCTGCGGTCATCCTTCTAGAGTTTCTTCTCAACAGTCGATGTTCAAATTTTATTTGTTAAAAACGACACAATACACAATTAGTTAATTATCTCACTCGTTAGGCGAAACCGACACTTCATTATAAAAAATATTTAATATTATTTCAATAATATTAAAAATATAGGCCTTTTTTAAAATTTAAATTTAAAAATTAAAAATTTAAACACATGTAGATTAATTGTAGATTGATCCTATCTAATGAAATCCACAAAGTCTAATTTTTAAAACAATTATCAAAGTTCTAAAACGAGATCACATATGCACAGAAACCAGCACTAAAAAAAAAAATAAACACCAACTATTCACGGAAAACTTGTAAAAAAATTGTCTATCAGGCGAAAATCTCCGAGCACTGTTAGTCCTCACTGCGTGAATGTATTGTACCTCGGCCGAGATTCGCGACTGAAATAAAGATGTCGCGGATTGTTAACACTATCTTTCCCGTCAGCTCGTTCGGTGGGCGGGGCCGGCGGCGCTCACGAGCTCGATGCTGATTGGTTCGTCATTTTAACAGATCGCCCTAACTGGAAAAAAAAAGTTTTTTAAATTATTTTTTTTTTGGTGTATGTTTGTAGCACAATTCAATGGCTACTTTTGTAGACTTGATCTTAAGGTTGGACTTTGTTTAGAATTTAATGAATGCTTTGCAGAGAAGTCGATGCCGCTGGTGTAGTCCGCGGTTGAAAACACAGTCTGTCGTTGAAGACGTGATTAGAAAATGATTCACCGTCCTAAGATGTTGTGTCTGTTGAAACAAAGAAGTCCACTGTAAGCAATATCCCATCAGTTCTTCTTTTGTGAGAAAAAATAAATAATGAAATATTGCTATACTTAGTAGTCTTGTTTAGTATCTTCACAAATCTTAAATTTTTTTTACTGAAAGTTGCGAAATGTAAAATAGGTCTTCAACATACACATTTTAAAAACGTTTACACATCTAGGTTAGGAACAATAACTACTATATATTATAAACTAAATTAATAATATAGACCTACATTATATGCCCTCTTTTTGATGTTTGAATGTTTAAGTTTGATTTAGTTGAAGCTATGCAAAACACTTCAAAAGCGATATATTTCCAAATACAAAGAGATGAAAACTGAATATATGAAACTACAGGCGGTAAAAAGTTCTTTGATAAAAAAAATTAGTTGCCTAAAGTAAGTTGAGTTATATTCCAATATGGTTGATCCCTTTTTTTTCCCCGTGACGTAAAGAGTTAACACACAAACCTTGTCGTCTGCGAATGCCAATCTTATCCCAGCCGACGTCTGTTAACAGCCGAGGGGGCGGTCTTGAACCGCGCCTCGCTTCTTCATTGGCCGCCTCTGCGTGGCTTGATGCGCATGCCCGCCATCATAGCTGGGTGGGACGTCGCTCCGTGAAGGGTTAACTCCACACGGAGGGCCGAAGTTTTAAAGACGAAGTAGTTTTGGCTTGCTTGACTACAAGGGGGCAGCCGTTCCCAGGGCAAGCGAGGTGATAGAAAGCATCAGTCAATAAGGGGAGCGCGGATAAAAGGGCTCCCCCCCCCTCACACCCGTGATGCGAGTTTTGTAAGAGTTGGATAAGTGTTGTGTTGGTTCTCGGCAATTAGTCAGACCTACATATCACTACATATTCATTATAGCTAGAATTTTGACGAGAACATCAAATTTGCCCACAGCCATGCCCATAGACTACCTCCTAGTCTAAATCTAATCGCATTTGTAAAAAAAAAAATATCGTAATCTATTTCAAGTAGCCCAATTAAACTTTTTCACGGGGTACCCCTCAACCCCCATCAATTATCCATATATCTAGTCATAGGACTCCTTACACCAAATACAAGTCACGTAACACAGTAACGCAGGTGTAATTGACTTGTCATGCCGTTTAAGTAGTCCAATTATCAATTAAACTTTAATTGCCCCACCCACTTATCAAGAGAACAGTTACGGCAAAACATTAACTTTAACCTTTTTAATGTAAGCAGAGGTTAGGATTAGTACTTGGTTTCAGCAGTACCAGCTCTAGATAATCAGTGTTTCTTTCACACTTAGAATTTTCGGGGGGAGCGGACTAAATTTTCCGGGGGGCGGACACTAGTAAAAGTATATATTTTCTTCGGTTTCGTTGGCGTAAACTGTTGATAATGCCTGGTATGTTTTATGCCTCGATAACTTTTATTAAACTTTATCCAAAAAGTTGGTTTTAGCGAATAGAACAGTGGTTCTTAATCTTTTCGGAGTTACCGAACCCCACCAGTTTCATATGAGCATCCACAGTGGTTGAGAACCTCTGGAATAGAGTCTTCTTTACACATAGTGGACTCAACCACCTTCTTCCATTTTGTCCGGTCTCCGATGGTGTATTTTTTCGTCTCCTAAGACATCCCTGCGGTCTTCAGTTTTTCGAGAAAACCGAGGTAGGATTAGGGTTAAGATTTTATTTTAGGACCAAAATACAAATCAATCAGCGGGCTTTGACGACTCTAAGCTGCGCGGTTGCGCGGCCGCGCAGTAATTTTGAACTGCCGCGCAATCCTTTTGTAAAAGACTCATATCCTTGAATAATACTTTCAGAACACCGCGCACACAAAATACTCTCTACACACTAGCTTTCTACCCTTAGAGGGAAGGTTGGTCACCACGCTGTAGCAGAACTGTATCGTCTGTATGAAATATAACATTTTCTCCTTTTTCGTTCTTATTTAAAATTTCATCCAATAAAATGAAGCATTACGCTTTAACACGGTGAGGTGACTATAAATCCTGTCGACTCCTTCAACTTCTTTTTTGTGTAAATTTCCTTATATATCATTTATCCACCCAAAAAAGCAATCTCCAAGACAGCAGTTCTTTAATTTTGGAGTTTCCTCTCCTAGACGGGTTGCTGACCCCAGTTCTCGAGTCTCATCTGCCGCGGATCATTTTCCATCTCTTCTCAACCAATTTAGATCTTAAAAGACACGCGCGTTGATCGAACCCCCCTCCCCCCCCCCATCCCCTCCTCTCTCAACCCCTCAATCGATACATGATCTATTTACTGCACAATTCTGCTTTTGTTTACCGCTTCACGAGCGCGTGACTCTTTGTAACAATAAGTCACGTGATAACCGCTTTTGAGAAAAAGAGATGTGTCTTGTGGAACACGGGCTGGAGCCTACATCAATGACGTCAGGGTACAAATTTAAACGCAGCGCGACAGCTGCTGTGGTGTTGTGGGATGGTGTGGTGGGATCGTGTTGGATGGTGTTGTGGGATGTTGTCGTGGTATGGTGTCGGATAGCGCTGTGGGGCGGTGTCGTGGGATGGTGTGGTGGGATTGTGTCGTGGGATGTTGTCGTGGGTCTTGCGGTACCGCCGAAATAACAAACGTGAAAATAATAAACACATCACGTAACCTTTAACCTGTACATTGATTATATTATTTTAAGTGAATGGTCCCATTTGTAATACAAATTTGTTAGTTATGCAAAATATTTAAAAAAAAAAAAACAATTTTTAAATATTTTTAACTATAAATAACTATTTTTTTTTTTAAATGTAAAAAAAATAAAAACCATTTTTTTCCAATTAAGTTGCTGTATTATGTCATAACTTCTTGCATCAACTTATTTTTTCCCGAAATAAAAGCGTTCTGGATTTTTTTCCCGTTATATTGTGTAATGCGGTGCAGATAATACTGGGATGACTCTGTCGATTAATTAACGGTGTTCAGTTGCATTACGCGGTATTTTAGTTAGTAAAAAAACGAAAAAGAAAAACCGACATCGAAACACGTAGTTTAACAACTGCGACCCCTTCACTTATCCCAACCCCCCCCCCCCCCCTCTTTCGCCATCTAAGCATTTGTAGCCAATGTGAAAAGCAAACAAAAATCTATCACTGGCTGAAAAAAAAAAACCAGTTCCATTCCTTAACCACGCCCGGGGTAATGTAATATTAGACAGAGCTTTTGAAAAAAACGGACAAGCCATTTGTTGTTGTCCTGGTTGGATTAATTCCTTTCGGGCCCTTTTTTTTCAAACGTGGAGAACCGCTGAATGAATCGTACATTTGAACACTCGTAAATCGTGTCGAATTCACACGGATCTTTAACCACGGAGGAGGGGGGGGGGGGGGGAGACACACTAGGAAAAGCAAAGAGAGATCTATAACAAACAACGATCATCGCCGTTTGTTAGGAGACCTGTGAATGTCTTCGGCTGTTGGACGTGTCTTGTCTTTTAAGGTTGGGGTGTGTTGCCTTAAAGAGCGCGCGGCGAACGCCGAGGGGTGTCTTTAAATGCCCGGGCATAGATCAGTCTAAAAGGCTGATTGTCAGGCTAAATGGCGATCCCCGGTCATCAACCCACGGACAAATGACATAGATCCTGCAGCCTGCCCGACTCCCATTTCCGGCGGGGGGAGAACAACGCCGAGACAGGCGATAGCGGAATGCAAAATGGCGTCTTTACAGCACAGTTAATCGGCGATTTTCGGCAATTTCCGTGACTGATTGCTTTAGGGGCGAGTGAGGACTTATCGTTTCCTTGCATTAGGAACGCTGCGACATTTGAAGAAAACAAAATTTAAAATAAAATGTAAAAAAAAAAGAATATTCCCCTGTCTGGGATTTAAATGCCAATGGGGTAAAAAGCACGCTCGGTTGCGCAATTGTACAAATGGGTTTGTTCAGCGGACGGCTAAGTGAGCATCAGACAGAGGAAATTTCGCAACGCTGGAAGGTCAGAGTTCAAGATAAAGATAAATACAGAAAGCTAAGTATTTCAAAACACCTGACACGATCGTTGTTTTCTTGTTCGATTTAGTAAGATTAGTTGACGGATTAAAAGAAAAACAATGAATTTGTTTAACATTGGCATATTCATATATTTCATCAAGTGTACACTTTTAGGCCCCCTCTTTCTTTGATTTGCTGAGTGGAGTCAGATATCTGGAAATCAGAAGTGTGAGTAGCGTGTGGTAAATGTTACTTCTGTAGGGTGCTCAGTCAAACGTTTAGAAGATTTTTAGAGCACCATCTTGCTTTAAGTTTGGACGTGATACTGCGCTAAACCCCTGAACCGAACCCCGATATATTATAGTTTTAGTTTATTTGTTA